TTTGCTCTGATGGCTCTCCACTGCTTCAGGCAGCCACAACTGCCTCTGATGTATTCTCTTTTTAAGATTTTATGTATTTATTTGACAGCGAGACAGCGGGCGTGAGAGCAAAAGCAGGGGGTGTGGCAGGTAGAGGAAGAGGGAGAAGCAGGCTCCCACTGAGCAGAGAGCCTGATGTGGGGCTCAATCCAAGGATCCTGGTATCATGATCTGAGCCAACAGCAGATGCTTAACCAACTGAGCCACCCAGGTGCCCTGCTTCTCATCTTCTTCTTTTTTTTTTTTTAATAAAGGTCCCTGTGGAAGAGGCTTTTCACACGCAGCAAGCTTTGATCAGGCAAAATAAAGACAACCTTATAAGTGAGATCTTTCAGGGAGTCACCAGACAAGTTAAATAATGACAATTCCCTGGGAATGAAGCTTTGAAGGAGTTCTAACCCCATTCCGTCCCCTCCAGCAGCTTCTATGCAGGTGATTCTACACTGATTGTATATTGTTGGTTTTCAAGGATACAGTAGAGTTGAGGGGTGGGATGCAAACCGGGCAAGTTAGAATGCCACAAAGCTTACAGTTCTTACTGAGATTCAGCTATTTCTCTTGAATAAATATTCCATGGATTGCTGTAATCCTTGGGTTAATTTCCAGAGTTCTGAAAAAAAAGTTGATTCTGACATGTTTTGACAATTTCTTTCTTGCTTTTATGGAGGGGAGAATTTTTGGAGGTCCTTACTCCATCATTTTTGCTGGCTTTAAGCATTTAATGCCCTTTTATTTTTAACAAAATGAATCTGGCTAAAACAATGAAGCCACCATCATCAACATTTCTAGGCATCCACATGATTCGAGCTCAACTATTCTATAAACAGAAATAGCTGTGAGAACCAAAGTGGATACAATATGAATTTTAGAAAATGTCCACAGTCCAAGTGAATGTTGCCATAGTTTTGCAGTAGACAGATGCAGAGTTTTAAAAAACCCTTTCATTATGCAAAAAAAAAAAAAGGAAGATAGATAGAAGATAGACAAACCATGGATTATTAGTCTCAAAAATTCTATAAGAAACAAAATCTGATATATATATATATATTTTAAGATTTTATTTTTTGAGAGAAAGAGACAGTGAGAGAAGGAACACAAGCAGGGGAGTGGGAGAGGGAGAAGCAGGTTCCCCGCTGAGCAGGGAGTCCGATGTGGGGCTCGATCCCAGGACCCCGGGATCATGACCTGAGCCAAAGGCAGATGCTTAATGACTGAGCCACCCAGGCACCCCAAAACCTGATATTCTTTAACACAGGTAGCAAGGATACTCTACACTCTACTGTAAGGTGAGTTGGGAAAATACAAACCAAAACAACAAAAAACCACTAGTCATTCCTTGCAAGTCCCTTAATTACATATAGAAATGATCTCTAAATGCTGTACCTTCTACCCAGCCACCACACTGGACAGCCAGTACTTTTCTGTCTGCAAAGTACAAGAGACCATATAGTCATGCTTCAAAGAGAACATCTTAGGCTGTTAAAGCAGCCTCTTTTCCTGACCAAGGGTAACAGTCACTGAGCTATGATTAGTCTCCTTTTCAGAGACACTGGCATTACATTCAACTCTATTAGCTGATGACACAGGGAGGTGCTTTCTGGGTAGGGACAGTGGGACTTGAATGATCTGTAGATAGACATAGAGCTATTTTCCAAAAATACAGACTTTATAAAAAAAAATTCCCTTTGTTTAAGAGAAGGCAAGCAAGATATTCACTAAATTCCTGGAGAAATGTAGGAGGGCCTCATTAGGAGTAAGCAGGAGTCAGTGGAAACTACAAAAATAATAAAGCATAGTAAAATGGCCAGGGTTATGTAAGGTTACATTTTTAAATAAGATTCCTCAAAAGAGTGTGTTTACAAGTCTGTGAAGCGAATTTACATCTCAATATTTAATTACATCAGGTTGCATTAGTGTTGGCCCAGTTAGGAATCCACATTTGTAAATCACCTGAATAAAAATGTTTTGACTTCTGCTGAAGTAATGCATCATTTCAAGCTTTCTGCAGTAAAGATAAAAAATGTCTGATTTTTCAATTCAGGAAAGAAAAACCTAATTTTACTCTTAATAATTTTTAAAACCGGCTTTCAAAAGTCCCCAGAGATTACAAAACAGGTATGTATTTTAGGGAAAACCATACGCCAATCCTCGTAGCTAACTGATGGTGAAGTCTTTATTTCTGACTGTAAACATTTCAATTCGTAAACCCAAATGTGGAAGAGAAGTGAGACGCACGTGAAGTTAGCCAGACAAGCCAGGTGTGGAAGGTTTTAGTGAGTGGTAAGTACGTTGACCAAGATACTGAATGTGTACCTGTCTTTTCTAGAAGAGGAGGGCCAGATAACAAAGGAGGTCATCACTCTTCAATATTAACCAGAGTGGACTGACTGTCCACCAGCCAGCGCTCTTTTGTGTACTGTCCATCTTAAAAAGTTCTTAAAGTGTGCTCAAAATATGTATTTTATTCACTGAAGTTGCAACATTTCATTTACACTATGTTACATAATCAAGGATTTGGGGATGACAACACTTAGGCGTTTTGAAGAACACTGATAGGGTACTACACTTAAAATGGTGACCTCCTTTGCCCTATGTCATATGAAGGCCTATACCCATTAGGGTAGCCTAGATTTAAAGACTTACCATGAAGGGGCCCCTGGGTGGCTTAGTTGGTTAAGCATCTGACTCAATATCCGCTCAGGTTTTGATCCAGGGTCGTGAGTTTGAGCCCCGCATGGAGCCACACCTCAGATTACGGAGGTAAACTTTACCCAAGCAGACTGTAGTTTCCAAATAAGTCACTTTTTTTTTGTTTTGTTTTGTTTTTGGCATTCCTATAATTGCATAAAGTATATCTCTACCTAGTATACCCATTACTTAAGAAAATACATATATACTAACTTCAGAGTTTTCTGCGAAGCTCTGGACTCCATTCAAAGACATAACCCGTGGGCCAATTTTCTCCAGTCTACAACGTTCCTTTAGCGTATCAGAGGGTTAAGAATGACATCGGCGACGGCGGTACAAAATTTTTCATCATCTACAGCACCAAGGAAGCCAGATTACTAATTCCATTTCCCATCAGTTAGGCTGGGGGCCGCCCTGAGGATTAGGATTGAGACTGCCCTAAGACATTGGTGGCCGCACACTGTTCGTAACGGGCACAGAGGATGCTCCGCTTGCTTAAGCGTCTCTGTAAAATTTCCAGCAAGTTAAGACAAGACAGAAGGAGCACATATCCTTATCTCATCAAGCATCTCTAGCGTCCGGTGATCACCTTCCAGAGCTCTGTTTTAAGACACAGGATCGCAGAGGGCGAAATAGAATGATGTCGTGAGATATTTACCATCACTTAAATGAGAGGCAGCAGCCACTTGGGCCCAAATCACATTTGTGAAGTTTCCTGCCGCATTTCCCTGCGGCCAACTTATATACATGCAGAGGTTACGCTAAAACTTCAATTATTCCAAAGGATGAAAGAAGTGTTATATTTTGATACAGATCTTCAGTTCCTATTATACGAAAAGCCTTTGAAATGTGAGGGCTGACCAGGCCAAGTTATGAAAGGGACGGGAGGAAGGAAGAACAGTGGAGATGCAGTGGGAACACACGGTAACGTTCTGTCTTCACCGTTCCACGGGGAGAAGAGTGTGCTTTCCGGACAGCAGGTGGTGTGACTGAAAAGATCACACATTCGTCAGGAACCGTGTAGGATTTTTAGCACTGCGAGAGCTTAGCATTACAGATTTAGGGCAGCTAATAAAATGCCAGAGACCAAGTTTTTGACAAGTCTGAAATTTTTTGGAAATAATTTTCCTACCAAGTAAGTCTTCTTGGTTCCCCTTTTAGTTCTGCGCTAGAGAGAACTCTGTATAATTAAAATTAAAAAAGAATCGCATCGCAGCAACCCGAAGAACATCTGGCAGGAAAGCCACACTCAAATGCTCTCCTTCCAGAGGAAGAGCAAGTATGCGGCTCTTCCATTAAGAGCACTTCTTCTCAGAGAATCATCTCGCAGACTTTCCATTTATGGGTTTTTTTTCCCCCCAAAAGTCCAAGGCTGAATTTGCGCCCACAATTTTTTCTGTATTTCCTCAGTGGTATCTGGACAATAGTGTGTTAAGTACATAAGAAATCTAGGGTCAAAATGAAGAGAATCTAATACACCAGGTATTTAAATAAATGGGCACAGGTTGTACTTAGAATCACCTGGCAAAAACCCAGGAGCACGAGTAGCTGGGGCCCGTTTTTCATATGTAACAACAATATTTCAAAGTTAATATAAATTTAATCGTAAGCCCATCTAGCAAGAAGCACTGGAGGACATATTTTGACATGTTTTATCTCTCCCTTTCTCGTTAGCCAGAAAATGTTTAAATCTGGAAAGAAGATCAGATCTTTCAAAGCCTCAAATATTCCTCAAACTCATATAAAAAAAAATCATTTTGAAATAGCCTTTCAAAACCAGGGTGTATTTCATTTATCATCTGCATTTTTGCATTTTAAAAAAACACTCACAAAGTTCTCTTAATGTGCTGCAAAACTTATAAACCGGGTTGTAACTTTCTGGAGGGTGTATGCTAGGACCCTAGCAGGGCCTCCGCTGGAGTCTGACGCTGCCAACTCTGGCGCGCTCCCCCCACCCCACCCCACCCCACTCCCCGGCCCCCTCCCCGTGCCTGTTATTCAATAGTATGACGGCCATAGAGTTTGCAGAACTTAGGTAAAAACATGGAGGATAATCTCTGGGAGGAAACAGTTCCCTGGGTACAAGAAGGAAAGGCAAAGAATAAAAGTATCTTGAAGGTACATGTGTTCAAAAGTTCATTTCACTCCGTTATCAAATTAAAGTTCTTCAAGCAACAGGAACTTGGCTTTCAAGATCTGGGGAGGCATGTCACACTGAATAGTTTGCTTATGAGACACACTCATGTGAAAAGAAAAACACGGAAGACAAAGGGTCCTTAATTTGGGGGAGGATATATTCCAACGTGGGGTGGGGGGGTAGGGTGAAGGCATTTCAGCTGGGAAGCTCCATCACGACATTTCCAGAGAGTTCGGCAGCTCCCCCCTAGCATGGCACAGGACAGGATGTGAGGGCCTGTTCCGCCAAGCTGGACGCAAACAGGGTGCGATCTGCAGGCAGCCACAGTGTCAGGCTGGCAAGGCTCCTGGGGCTCTCGGGTGTTTATCAGCTCAGTAGGTCAAAAGTCTGCAGACACTGGGTGGAGCAGCAGTAAGCCACGAAGCTCACTGTTGTCCTCCTGGAAGGGGAAGAAAGGGAGAGAACACTGTGAGTTCAAGATTAAAGTCTCTGGATTCTTTCCATCGGGGGCTGTCTTTTCCTTTGTGAAAGTGAAGAATGAGGTCTGGCCAAAAAAGCCACCACGCAAATGTAAATTTCCTTTTAAAACTGAGCTCTGGAATCAGGTGAGGTATGCATGCACTCATTTTATTAGCGGTTTTCAAGTGACATAATATCCCCCGAGTTTAGCAGCTCAAGGGAAAAAATAAGCTTTTTCCCCCGTTATGGTCTGAATCCTGCTTATTAGAACCAACAGTGCAATAATAGAATTTGAAATACAGTATTAAAAATCACGTCACAGGGGCGCCTGGGTGGCTCAGTGGGTTAAAGCCTCTGCCATTGGCTCAGGTCATGATCTCAGGGTCCTGGGATCGAGCCCCACATCGGGCTCTCTGCTCAGCGGGGAGCCTGCTTCCCCCTCTCTCTCTGCCTGCCTCTCTGCCTACTTGTGATCTCTCTGTCAAATAAATAAATAAAATCTTTAAAAAAAAATAAATAATAAAAATCACGTCACAGAACACATCACCAATTTAGCTAGAACACTTAATATTATTGAAGAAATTTTGAAAAAAAAAAAAAGGGATAAGGACTTTATCCTACACATGTATTCACACAGGATTGTTTGAAGAGGTAATTTCAGAAACTCCGTAAGAAAAAGAGCGGAGGAATCAGATCTCAGATTCCCATCTGGCACCTTTCCATACTGAGTCAGGAGCCCTCTGACCCACTCTGGACAGCTCCAGCTATGAGAGGCCTGGTTTTCCCACCAGCAGCGCTATCCTCTGGTGAGGAGATAATAATTTACTGTTGTTTCTACAAGACCTGCTGTGCTGATTATCTTCTGTTTCCCCACCCCCTAATCCAGTCTTTGCTTTTCTCTGTTGCCCAAGAAGGTCGCCTCCACAGACCCTACCACCAAAGCTGCCTGATGGCCGGTTTTTGGACTGAATTAGGTAGGCAGAGGCACAGCAGGACAATGAAGGGCAGGGAGAGAGAAAAGTTTAATATTTTTCTTTTCTTCCTCTTTTTCAAGTCTAGTTAATTGAGGTATATTAACAGACAAACATACAAGAAAATTCACCTGCCTTAAGTACACAGTTGAATGAGATTTGAATACAATTATTTAACACCAAAATCAATATATGAAATATTTTTTAATCTCCAAAGTTTCTTGTCCTCCTTTGCAACCAACTGCCACCCCCCTCTTCAAACCGCTCCCCACCGAGTATCGGGCATCCACTGGTCATTTTGTTTCTCTGTAAGTTTTTATTTACTTTTCCCTGGGCTCTGACAGTCTTCCAAAAGAAGCTTTGCTACCATTTTCATCTTGATTGGTAAATGCCTTCGAGGCAAGAGCCAGACCTACCTCTGTGGATACTTTTGTCTTACATTTCTGGATCAGTCCTGGATTCCCTTACCAACTGGTTTCCAGCTAGGTTTGGCTGACCGGAGGATAAAGCTACCCTAGGGGGCCCTCTTGTAGTCCAGTAACACTTCAACACTCAGCCAGGTAATGCCCACTCCGCCTCAGCTTTTGCTTTCTGCTTGCAAAGGGCCTCAAAAATCAGCCAGAGCTCAGGGCCTTCCAGGTCTTTTCTGAGCGAGTTTATGTCCCTATGCATGCATGTGGCCAAACAGATTCCCAGAGATACGTGAGTGCTTCTTAAAGCACCTACAGAAACCTTATTTCCCAATTCCCCTTTTCAGCCTTATGGTTAGTCTACTGTTGGCCCCCACAGTTTTTCACTGCCTCAGGCAGCTGCGACATTAAGCAGTTGCCTCTAATTGGTTTGACAATTTTTGACAAACACCCCCAGGGAAGAGGCTTTTTGCTTTGGTGAGCTTTGACTGAAGTAAAAAAAAGATAGGCTGTCAGCAAACCACCAAATCAGGACAATGACAGTGCTCTCTGGCCATGGACCTTTGAAGAAGCCCTAGCTCCCTTCCACCCCTTTTCAGTTGTTATCAGAACGCTGGTTTTACCTGTCATTGGAGATTCTTGATTTTCAAGGTTAAGACTACAAGATAGGGCTAGGATACTTTATCACATCACAAAGTGATGAGCTTCAGTCACTTTTCGTGTGTAAATGCACACCAGATTGCTGTAAGACTTTTGTTAATTTCCAGAGTACTGGAAAATTTGATTGTGACCATTTTTGCTGGTTTTTTCTTTGCTTTTGTGTTAAGATTGAGTATTTATACTCCACCTCTACCTCTCTGACTAGAGCTCCTACTGGGAAGCCCTTCTGTTGGCTCTGGTTCTTAGCAGCTTCCAGATCCCCCTTGTCCTTCAGGCCTAAAGGATAAGGATGGTAGAGCTTCCTACTGTTTTAAGTTTCCAGGGGTTTTATCATCCTTGTGGGTGCTCTGAATCCTGCCTCAACTTCTGCAAATAGTCTCTCTCCATTCATTTCTCTTCAAAATCCTCTTAATGTGTGTTTTCCAGCCAATTTCCCAACTGATTTAGTAAGTGTTACAAGAAGGGGCCTAAGAAAACAGCACATCCAGATGGAATTCTGGAATTGGGTTGACCAGTGCATGAACAGCCTTCTTACTAGGGAAAAATGGGACACTGCTAATATGCAGTGTGGTGTGGCATCACAAGCACTATATCACTCAAGGAGACTGCCAAGGCAGGCTAAGGCGCTGGGAGGTCAAGTGGCTGGGGCATCCTAGCGAGTTCAGAGATTGTGCATGAGATGGCTTCTTGTGATGGCTAAAGAGATGATCGCTCCCCACTCCCCATCTCCAGCCCCACCCCCAATTAAGCACGTGCCTTGAACTCTCAACTCAAGGCATAGGTGGGGAATCAACATTTCTGTTGGCTCTAAAGGAATTCTTATTCTGTGAAGCTACAGGAAGGACATATCTGAAGCCTGAACTTACAGGGTGCAGAACCCATGCCACCTGGGCAAGAGTACATTTATGCAGAGTCTCTTATACTAAGGTAAAGGTGCTTGCTGGGAAGGGGTAGGACTGTGAGACTTGAAATTGAAACCTCTGTTTAGACACAAAGCTGAGAACCTTGAACTTCTAATATCTCCAAACATTTCTTCACATCAGAAACAGCCTTTCTTACCCTCTGACACAATGAGTATTTCCTTGCCTAACAACATTTCACTGACTTCATCCTGGTGGGGAGGGGGTGGTCACCTTAAAAGGAAACGCCTAGTCTCTTCAGAACCCACCACCACCACCAGTCACTGTCTCTAGGGCCACAAAGGGTGTAAAATCCCAGCACGATCTAGAGAATTCATTGCAAGGCTGCTAATGGGGGAGAGAACATACACGAAGTTGCAGGATCTTGCCAAATTTTATTAGCAGGAGCCTGAGAAGCAAGCATGCAAATGGATTCTAAGTAAATTCGCCAGCGAGACTAAATCTAAGGTTGGATCAGGCCAACGAGAGTGTTCACATATGCCTCAGGATTTAACGTGTTAGCCCGAGCACCTGTAATGGTTGACACAAGCCCTGAGTCAGTAAAGGCCTACAGTCAAGGGGGCAGCGATGCTGACACTTCCACTGCACACTCTAGAGGGAAGAGATCAAAGCTTTAGAGAAATGGGGACTTTGAAGGGGGTTCAATGTGGTGCAACTTGCTCAGCCACCTCCTGAAGACCTTTGGGAGAGCCAGGAAGGCACTTCCTTCACCAAGACCCAAAAGTACACATCGATGAGGGGAAGCAGCGCACACACTTGATACTTAATAGGACACACGCCTACTAGAGGTGAGAGAGAAATCCTCCAAATTCTCTGAAAAGGCAGGGGTTTGCTGCATTGGTCAAGTTTCAGAAGAGTGACATTTATGAAGAAATAGATACACACTGTGGTCCCTTTGGATTTTCGGGGCAAAATGTATTTGGGTGGAGATTTTTGGTTCTACCAAGATGGAGGAGTCCAGTCCTTTCAGGTCCTTCCTCTTATGTTAAAACACAATGAACCGGCCATAACACAACAAACAAGTGTAGGGAGGGTCTGAAGAATAGAAAAAAGGTGGACAGCTTAGGAACCTTGGGACCTGAGAGGCAACACAGCAGTGGTGAGTTCCCTAGGTTTTCTTATTACCTCTCCTTTAGCTAGATAGGATGCTTGTAGAAATCCAGAACCGCCAACAGGCACAGGGGAAAAAAAAACAATCTCCAAGAAAAGCCTGCTCCCTCTAGCCAAAGGATCAGGACAGAGAGATCGGTAGAGGCAAAGTAAGTAGTTGCTTCATGCTGGGTAAGGGGGAATACAGAGTGATAGGTCAAGGGTACAAAGGTTTCTTACAGGGTGAGAAAAATAATTTACAATGGACTGCGGTGCTGGCTGCACATATCCATGAATATAGTGAAAACTGCTGAATTGCATACTTTAAGCAGGTGAATTGTATGATATGTGAATCATCTCATTAAAGTGGTTTTAAAAATAACAGCACTGGGAGGAGAAATAGACAAATCCACAATTAGAGTGCAAACTTCAATATCCCATTCTCAGCAACTGACAGAACTAGTAGACAGAAAATCAGCAAAGACAGCAAAGACAGAAAATCAGAAAAACCAAACAACTCAATTGAACCAAAGAATTTAACCGACATATATAGAACACTCCACCCAACAACAGCAGAATACACTCCCCCCGCCCATATGTCCATGGAACATTCACCAGGATAGACTCTATCCTTGACTCTAAAACATAATTCAACAAATTGGAAAGAACTAAAATTATACAGAGGACCCATGTAGTTTCATCCCTGATAAAGAGTGTAGCAATCGTCACTCCTGTTCATACAGGAACAAACAGAACTGAAAATGAACAACTTTTCTTCCAGCCACCAGGGAATTGAGGGTGTAGGGCAAAGAACAACCTTGAAGTCTAGAGAGACTAGTGAATCTGGAGAGTCACAGCTGAGATCTGCTCACCTGGACAGAACACACTAGAACTGCTGGTGGCTGAGTGTAGGCTAGCCTGGGAATCAGA